ATGATGGCAATGTTATTTTGAATGTTGCTGACTTTTAAAGAACTAATAGGTCTTGTAGTTATAATGAAACCAATAGACTTGTCCAATGTACTATGAAGGGAGGTAATATTTTCTGCAGAATAATGTTTTGAAATATCATTCAAGTTTTTGCTGGTAAATTTTCTATAGGAGGTATGAGATCCTTTTTCTTGCCAGAGTAAAGTATAAACCTCTCCGTTGCTCAAGGAGGCATTATAGCATCTGTCAAAAAATGCGGTATTATGTTTTTCAAATTGAACCAAAGTTTTGGTCGGTATACCTTCCTTTTGCACATCTTTAAGTTTTTTTTGAACGATCTGGGTTGGAAAACTGTCAATGTTAAATGTAAGATTCCCAAAATTTCCATTCACAATTTTGACACCTTTAAATCTTTCAAATACAGTCATTTCTTTTCTGCCTAAAAAGCTATAACATTGACTCAATACTAAATCATATAATGAATTAAAAACTTCAAAATCTCTATCTACAGTTTTTGGTGTCTCTAATAAATATTTAAAAAGATCGTTAAATATAGATTTGGACTCTAATCCTTCATAACATTTTTCAAGCATGGGTAAAGAGGATGTACAGGTCCAATAGTCTTTTGATTTGTTCTGAACGTAGTGAAGGGCAGGAATGTTTCGATTGTAAACAATAAATGAGTTTGGTTGAGCATTCTCAAAAATTTTTATGCTCAAAAAATTTTCTGCATACTCGAGCTTCGTCTCTCATTGCTTTGCTTAGTGACTTTCTTCACCAACCGTTTTGCTCTATCATTGCTCATTGTCCTCATCATCATAATGGCCTCTCAACATCAAGACATCGTACATCAAGATAACAATTCAGACGAGAGTCAATACATGAAATATGTGTTATTATCAGACAACAATTCTACATTGTCGAATTCTCCAACTCATCCAACAAAAACTCCAACAAAGAAAGTTGCTCTTGTCAGACACAAGCTAGCTAGCAAGAAGAAAACTACATCTCCATCTGTTAGTGTGAATCGTCATTCACAACAGCCAATTTCTGAACCTGTTATCCAACCAAAAACCCAAATCGATGGTGGAGCATCACAAACACCAGACTACTGGCGCATGCTACTTCTTGAAGCATTCGAGGACAAACTCGGTGGTTCAGGTAACATGTATACAAATGACGAACTTTACAACTTCATCATCAACCAATCCTCTCTCAGCATCACGACCGCCAGTGAGTGGAAAGCTCGAATCAACACTCTTCTTCACAAGTTCGAGCAATTCTTCACGCCTCTAGACTCATCTTACGGCGCCGATAAGATCAAGTCTAAAGGTTATAAAAGAGTGTTGGAAGTTTTACACAAGCTGGCGTGTGTGAGTAAAGCTGCAAGAATGCAACAAGAGTTCAATTTTCAATTCACTCTGGACTCCTTAGAATTATGTGAATTGTTATCTAGACTCTTAATGGTGTTTATTAATGAAGGAACAGAGAATAACTCTTTCGAAGCCGCTGATGATTTCATCTCGGGATACATTGCCACTGATAATTATTTGGAAATGACAGAGAAGGAGAGAGAGAAAATCAGAAAGAGAGTTCAACAAAAACACCAAGAAGATGCTATTAAGAATGTTAACTCATTCGTTCAGAAGTCGATGAATGGTAGACTACGAGGTAATGGCAATGGAAGATATCATCCATACTCAGGACCTCAGAACAACTATCAAAATACCGCGACCCCATCCGGCACCAATAAGCCTCCCTTTCAAAGAAGAAACTATGGTGGAAAGAGGGCCCTTTCAAACCTGCAGCCGCAGCAAACAGCCGAAAAGGACGGCTGCCAGCTCCTGCTGACTTCCCAAACTTTGTGGAAATCCAGAATCCTCCAGAATCCGGATGTTTATGGATTTTGGCGGTTGTTTTTGGCTTTAAAACGAATAAAATTTTTAACAATAAAAATGCAAAACAACAACAATTCCGAACAAGCTTTGGCATGTTATCCTTGACCGAAATGAATTCAAATGTGGAGCTAAACAACCACATCAACATACATCCACGAAACGAATTCTGATCTTCATCTTCTCTATTACTATCTTACCGATATAAAATTCACACCATCAGACATCAATTCAGTAATTCGTATTTTTGAAGAAAATGCTATCAGAAGCATTGCTTGTTCTAAAGTCTTTTATTTGATGATGAAGAGATCATGTCATTTGCACTTCATGTGAAGCAGTGATTTCTTTCCGAATGCAACCCGAAAATGATAATCCAAACCAAAGATTTCACGTAAAAACAAGATTATGACTGAAGATGATGTCAAACAAATGTTCAAAAGAGCTTTGTGGAATCGTTCGCATCTTCCTCAAAGAAAAAGAAACAAATCATAACAATACTGACATCGAAGATGAGTCAATTTATAGTTCGACTTCAAGGTAGATAAATTGTCATTATCCATTATTGTTGTTATTAATGATCGGTTTGTGTTTGACAATGTATAGAGTTCAATCATCACCCAACAACAGAGTATTTTTGCCTTTTCAACTGCAAGAATATATGATCGAGAATTTTTATGGAGTGGCTTGACAATATTGTGGCTCCAACACCAATCTGAACGCTGAAAATTTCTTGAATGCTCTCAATAATTTTTTAAGTGCCTTAATTGTTGGCTTACAATTCAACAAAGAGAAAGATCAATCCACAAGATTACCATATGAGTATTATTGTTGCTTCCCATCACCAGAACATATTAATTATATTGTTATTGGTGAATTTGAAAGAGCATGTCGCACATTTGCCATGCTTTCAGATGCTGAATATGAAGCTCCAACCATTCATACTCTATTGTTTAATTTGAATATACCTGGTATTGAAGTTTTACTTACAAAAGAATTCAAATTGAAACAATATTCGAATAATGACATTGTGGAATTTGATAAATTGGAGCAGCAATGGAACAGAACACATCAACCACACAACATGCTGCAAAATTTCAAAAACAAACAATCCAACGCACATATCACCATTGGAGGAATTACCTATCACAAACAACAAATTGAAAAACCAGAAGCAAATGACTCTCAATTCCGAATATTTAAGCATTGGTGATTATGTTCTCCAATTAGATGAAAAATATCATGTCTACATCTGCCAAATTAAGCAAATCAAACAGTGGACAAAAAGGAATAAGAAGAACAAAAACCTTTGCCTGGATGGACGTTTCTAAAGATTTTACGCAATATTTTAAGAACCGTCATTGTGGAGAACGGTTTTTTAGTCAGCAAAATAAACTGATCACCTGATCAAAATCCTACCTCAGCCGCAAAAATCCTGTTTCAACCGGATGCCAAAGGATTCTGTTGATTGCATCCGAAAATAATTTCGGCAGCGAGGACTATCCTGGCTGAATGGCTGTTTGCTGCGGCTGCAGGTTTGAAAGGGCCCTCGGTGGAAATCCAAGCAGTAACTCCCAGCAATCTTCTGGAAACAATCTCCTCTGACAAAGAAGAGGTGATTGGAGGACGTCTTCAACGGTTTTCAGATCATTGGAAGCAATGGGGTGCTTCTCAATTCGTCCTCAATATGGTGACACATGGCGTGATCATCAATTCGAACCCCATGTTTTGGAAACACTATCATCAGAGACAATTTACACAAGAAGAGACAATTTGGATCAGACAAGAATTGAGCAAGATGTTCCACCTCAAAATTATAGGTCTGGGCTCTTCACGAACAATATTAAATCCAATCAATGTAGTACCAAAGAAAGGGAAGGACCTGTTTCGATTTATACTGGATTTACGAATGATCAATGGCGGAATAGAAGTGTCTCCCTTCAAAATGGACACTCTACTCAAATGTATGAAGTTTTTCAAGAAAGGAATGTGGGCTGCAAAGATAGATCTCAAAAAGGGTTACTTCCATATCCCTATACACCCAGACTCACATCATCTATTAGGATTCCAATTCGAAGGAATGATTTTCGAATTTCTCTGCCTCCCTTTCGGTCTCGCTCCAGCTCCAATTATTTTCACAAAGATATTCAAAGACATAATCATCGTTTGGAGAAGGAACGGGATGATGGTTTATATTTACATAGACGATATGTTAATACTGGCCTTCTCTCTCGAAGAACTTTGGGACCACATTATGACCATAATTCTCGATCTAATGTTCCTAGGTTGGCTGCTTCAATTAGAAAAATGCATCCTCACACCCACTCAAACAATAGAGTTCCTAGGTATAACTCTCGATTTTGTGTCAGGCCGTATGTTAATCCCAACAGACAAAGTAGAAACAGCAATAGATGTATCAAACGAACTTATTCAAGCGGAAAAATCGAGAAAGTTTATAAGTTGCCGATTCGTAGCCAAATTTATTGGCAAAATGGAGTTCTTGACAATAGCCAATCCTTACATCGCACCGTTCTTGCACCGTCTCAGGAAAGATATGCTATCAGTGGTCCAAAAGAGAAGCTGGAAAGCATCTATGAGGATCAACAGAGGAGCCAAGAAGGATCTCGAAACTCTTCAGCAAATTGTGCAAGAGAATACTGGAGTTTGTTTCGAGTTAGATACACCAAACCCAGTCGTCGTCAATTCAGATGCATCCCTTCAAGGTTATGGAATTCATGCAAACTCCAACATTTTGGTGGGCAAATTCAATCAGACAGACGAAACACAGACTCATATCAATCAGAAAGAGCTTCTTGCGGTTCTCTATTTTTTCCGTCATGCAGATCAACACAACAATTACCCTCAAAATACCTATTTCGAGTTCAGAGGAGACAACACAACAGCACTCAGTTATTTAAGGAAGGGTTACGGAATGTTCGACCATCTGGCCTCCACAGCGAAGGAGATTTGGACAATCCTACTCAAAAGAAAGTGGTCGATTTCCAAAGTTGTTTACATCCCATCCCAACAAAACAATATCGCAGATCGGTTGAGTCGCCTCGGAGATTGGCGCTCCTCAGAAGAACTTCTCGACCTCATTCAACAAGAATTCGGTTACCATACGGTAGACAGATTCGCGACAGCAAGTTCCGCAGTCACAATTCAATTCAACAGTTGGCTAGAGAACGATGCATTTCAGTCTCCGTGGGAAATGGACTCAGTCAACTATTGCGTCCCTCCATTAGGTCTAATTCCACAAACAATAGCACACATCATCAAATCGAAGGCTCGAGGGACATTACTAGTTCCCAATTGGCCCTCCTCACACTGGTTCTCAGTACTGCTGAAGATATCAGAAAAAAGTATAAGTGTTCCAAGAAGTTTGCTTATAATCGAGCCTTATACCGAATTGTTCAACAAATTCGAAAATCTGGAAATGATTGCCTTCAAAGTGAATGGCAAACTGTTTCACAATTAACAGCTTTAAGCGTAATTGTCTCTCTAGCTCCGTCAACCCTTACAGAATATTCAAAAATTTATGGCCTCTTCTCATGGTTTGTAACGGCCTTCGACTTTCAAAAAGAATCCGATTCAGTCTTAGATTATTTTTATGGATATCTTGTTTCTATGAAAAAAGCGTACCTTATTCAGAAAGCAAAAGCAGCCGTCCAATTTTTCGCTGATCTTGAAGGATGGCAACTTAAAGTATCGAGTAGATTTGGAAGAGTAGTTAAGGGTTCTACAAAGATTTGGTCGTTAGTGGACAGGAAAAAGATAGTGAGAGACCCCATTCGCTCATCTCACATCGCAGATTATATTTCTTCATGCAACCCAGTCTCCTGAAGAGTGCTTTATTTTTTCTCTCACTTCAGCCATTTTGGTTATTGGTTTTAGATTATTTGCTCGTCCTGGCGAGCTATGTGAATTGAAGTGGTCCGATGTAGAAATGGACAATCCAAAACCGGGGTGGATTAATATTAATCTTGCTGGTCACAAAACGGACTTCTTCTTTAATGATCGACCTCACCCAATAGATCCTGTCCAAGACTCCAACACCTTTTGTCCTATTCAAATCTTAACGACCTATATGAACCTAGTCAGAAATTTTAAATCTCCGGATTCACCACTTTTTTCATTTAAGGACAACCAATACCTAACTACAACTCAAATCTCAGAATTGATTCGCAATGCAATCAGACAAATTGACAGCACAGTGAAAGTCTCCGGACACAGCTTGAGAATCGGTGCATCCACCGAAATTTCCTCTAAAGGAATGCCTATTGAAGTCAACAAAATTATGGGTCGATGGGTGTCGGATAAGTCGGTACTTAGGTACTCGAGACGAATTGGTTTTGCAGAAAGCGATTTCTCCACCAAACTTTTTAATACTCGGAACTAACCCATTAGTTTTCCTCCAATTAATTCCAAACTCTTGTTGTTTACATTATCGAAACATGATTTGTTCTGAACGTAGTGAAGGGCAGGAATGTTTCGATTGTAAACAATAAATGAGTTTGGTTGAGCATTCTCAAAAATTTTTATGCTCAAAAAATTTTCTGCATACTCGAGCTTCGTCTCTCATTGCTTTGCTTAGTGACTTCCCACCCATCGCACTCCCACCCTTATCATGCTTTCTTAAGCTTTTCAAGTTCCTTTTTCGCTGATCCTTAATGTTCTTGTGGTAAGGAAGGACATTATGACAGTGCGGGACTGCCTTGTTCGAATCTTTTCGACAAGTAGTTGAATATTTATTTTTATAACCTTAATTTACTTTATTATTAATTTTACATTAATGTGACATTGTCACCACCTTTGACACCTGGTTTATTTATGATAATATGAGCTGATCACAATCCATCTCTTCTTCATCACTTCCTCCTTACTTCCTTGCGATTCTCTGGTTTTCTCCTTTTTTTCCGCTGAGCGGTTTTTGGAGTTTTTTACCTTCTACACCCCTTTTCAAATGCTCGGGACTCTGCTCAATAAAGTCTAATGACAAATTATGCAGAAAATCCCTCAAACACCAATCCTTTTCCAAAGGATGGATGTTTGGCGAGTTACAAACCCATTAGTTTTCCTCCAATTAATTCCAAACTCTTGTTGTTTACATTATCGAAACATTCGGAGTGTTTACGCAAACGGATATACCCTCCATCTTCAAGCGCTTTGAATGTTGGGCCACCTGGAATAATTTCATTAGTAAATGAAGGGAAAGTTTGTTCTGTGATCACATATGCCAGTATTTTCTTCGCCACTTCTTTGTTAAATGTTACATGCTTATTTCTTTGTGCAAACTGCTCTTTGGCTCTATTATAACACTTCATTATTTCATCGTTTATAGCTTGAGGTGATTTTGGATGTGATAGGTCAATTTTTTTCAATTCTGCAAGGAACCACTCTAGTGTCCTTGCATGTCCATTCACACAAGCCAAATATTTCCATAATGAAGTTGAAGAAATGATTGGCGAAGGAAGGTGTTCTTTTGTGATAGAATATATGTCTTCAGAAGTAAAAAGATATGGAGTGAAATAACTTGTTCCGTATTGTGAATGGCCAGAGGCAACAGAGAAAGCGTTATAATCTAACCCACCAAACATTGGCAGTAGAGAAAAATTGCTACCTGTGTTATAATTTTGGATAAAATTACCAAGTAAAGTGATAACTCCATGCAAAAATGTTTTTTTTTGCACTTCTTTGCTTACAGTATCTACTTTTTCATATTCGAATCGTTTCAATTATGTAAACTCATCAATACCCAAGTAGATATAGACTTTTTCATTCATTTTGTTATTAGTGGTTTTAAAGTGGTGTGCAATGGCTTGTAAAACTGTTGAGAGTGTACAATTAATGTTCTTATTTTCTTCTCTGAATGCTCTAAATTCATTAACTTTGAGATAGGAGTATAAAATTCTCAGACATAAGGCTTTCTCATAACTAAGTGGCTCAGTTTCAGGGTCTATGGCAAAACCATTACCAAAGGAAGTTAATAGTATAATGCTATTGTCTTTGAATTGTTGTCCTGGTTTTGTAAGTGGGAAAATTTCTTGAAGAGTTCTTGATTTACCAGTTCCTGGACCACAAGCAAGAAATGGAATAGATATGCTTTGTTTGTCCCTTGCTACTAGTAACTGTTCAAAGCAATAAGAAACATTGGCAACAAACTGGTCATTGGTTTTGAATGGAATATTAACAATGGACATAACTAGAGGATTTGGTGTCTCTCTTGGAGCATATTTGTTGAAGAGCAAGCTAATGTCGTCAAGCCTTCTCAATTGTACCACTAACGTTCGATTATGTATGAGGTTAATCCACTTTACAACTTCCTTGCTCACATCGTTGTTTCCAAGGCGATCAATTACAGATTCACCTTTGGCTTGTGCCATACTGTAAAGAAATGCTCCATCAATCCCAGGGTTAACGTCATACAAATCTGTCATTTGTTTTGACGTCAAACCAGCTCCTCCTTGTATCTTTGGCAAGCACAATTTTTCTTTCACTTGATCTCTTGTCCAGAGTGAATATAAATTGGGTAGTCACTGCGAAGCTACCCAAGAAACAATAGTTTGACAAGTGTCGGAGAGTTGAGGAATGTTATTCCTGTTGTAAACACGATCCAGTCGATCAAGAGCAAAATATTCATCCTTCTTCATGATATTCTCAACAATGTTGTGGAGAGATGAGCCATCAAAACCAGCCTCATACAAAGGCTTCACCTTTTCAAACGACAAACCAGCACCACCCAAAGATTCATCAGATGTCAATACTGATGCTACCTGTTGCGCGTTCCATTTCTTGTAATCCATCAAATTGAGAGTGATTGGTTCGGAGGATGAAGGTGCTGAAGTATTTGTACCATCACTATCATTTGTTGATGCTTCTTTCTCCCTCCACCAATTTGTGGTGGTGTAAGACCGTATTTGGCCAAATGTGGTTGTTGTTGGATAAAACAACAATTTGTTCGGAACAATTAAATTTGGTTTGTTCGACAAAGCATAATTGAAAACACAATTTCTGGTGAAAAAATATTGTCTTGTTGTTTTGGTGAGGCTCGATGTGTGGCTGCTGTTGTTGTGGGTAATTAACCGCTGAACGATGCTATTGGAGCCTGTTCTCTTCATTTTGGTGCGGAAAGCTAGCGATATTTTTTTTTGTGTTGAGAACACCAATGCCTTGAACAAGCCTTAAAACACTGCAAATTCCCAAAGAAACTCATGAACTTTATTTTAAATGCATACAAAGGGCACGAATGCACAATTGAATGGAACGACTCTCTTTAGGAACCGTTTGTTAAAACAAGAGGTGTCCCTCAAGGATGTCCTTTTGCTCCACTAGCATATGACTGTATAACCCAAATAATTATTGACAAAGCAATTGATGAATGGAATATTCCAATCAAGCCCTCCACTGTAAGCCCTAATGCCATTGGTCTCAAATTCTTTGCAGATGATCTTTCTGTCGTGGGAGATGTCAATAACAAATACCAAGAAAGAATAGACGATGTTTCAAAATGGATCAATGAGCCTAACCTGTAATTTGAGTTGAATGAATTGTCCTCGATAGTCTAACCTTAATTAAGACTGTCGTTTGTTAAATTGTTTGTCTTCAATGATTATGGAGATGGTCTTTTTGCTGTTTGTTTTCTTCGGACATGAAAGAGTTACTTCACAATAAATAGTCACTCCGTGTCGGCTCTCTGATACAAATAGACAAAAAAAGGAACGAACTGCAATCATGTTTCATGCAGATGTTATTGGAATTGTTGTCTCGCCCTTTGTGATAACAATGCTTCCTGAAAATGTATCTACATAACGAAGCTTACAGCAGTCACTCTCCACCTCCAAATTGATCGTATCATTCACATCCCCTCTTCAAGAAGGGTATAATCAGTAATTTCTTGAAATTTCAATGTTGTAAAAGCTTTTGAAATTTTGAACAAACATCTCCGACAGGATTTTCAAGTCAAGGCAAAAACCGTCCTTTCAACTTGATCAGTAAAAAAGGCTACAGCACTGCAGGTTCCCAAGTTGTCTCCAACCTCAGTACTGATGCAGCTCGACGATGCTTAACTTCTCAAATCGGACGGGATGAGGTGCATTCATCGTGATATGGCCGTAGCCATTCAAATAACCAAAATATCAGTTTTAATCCTTCAAGATATTGTCAGGGTTTAGAATAAGCAAGTGGTTTTTGATCTTGTTTGATTCACAAATTCTAACCCGTTCAAAAATGAATCTAGTTCTGCAACCATTTCTAGTCACTACATTTTCGTGTCCCTGTAAAAAACCTGTTCCAAAACCAAATGAAAAGCAAAAGAAGATAGCAAAGCTAGGTTTCGATCCTAGGACCTGTGGGTTATGAGCCCACCGCGCTCCCCCTGCGCCACTTTGCTTTATATTCTGTTTCTCTATGTTGAAATTTAACTTCACAATTGTTTCTATTTTTGGAAGAAAGAAATAATTTTTAGCTTGTTGTAAATGGCATGTCGTTTGGCAACTTAAAGTTTTATGCGACTTTCAAAACACATTTCTTGAACAACATGTTTCACAGCTCCAAACTCAAGGTTAATTTTCCTTCAAGCTCGCAAACGTATCTCTAAATTGATAAAATCCATCTTGAGGATGATTTCGATGCCACTTTTTGTGATTTCTTGCCTCATTATGGCCTTTCCCACAAACATCATCTTTGTTGGTACTTTATCAGTGGATGAAGATGATGAGGAATCGTTTGGTGATGTTCTTGAGACCATTGTTATTGTCGTTATTATTGTGTTATGTTAGTAATTTGTTTTGTTGTTGAATTCCGACACAGCCAGCTTGGGCATTTATTGAGCTTGCTGTCATCCATTTTTTGCTGGAATCTTCTTTGTGATGGAAATTCACAAAATACTGGAAACAAATTCATGATTAAAATGTGGAATTTCAAATCAACAACAAATTTTAGAATACCTCTGAACAATCAAACAACACAACAACTATGGTCTGCACAAGAAGCAATAAGGGATATTCCAATTACTCTTCTGAAATTTCAATGGACAATATCATCGGAGGAACAAGACAACGAAAACAATTCAATTATAAAGTCATGAATCAATATTCGATGCCTTGAATTGTCAAAGTAAGCAAATTCCATGGAAAATGTAATAAATTGTTAACACTCATTACAGAATTACTCGCCTAATCATCTTCCATTTCATTCTTGAATGAAAATGTAATAACGTCATGGACGGTGTTAAGTGTTCTCAAATTATCTAAAAACCGTTTTTCGTAACCTGTGGTTCCCCTAAATTTGTTATACATGACTTCATGCCACAGTCCTTTCTTTTCAATAACATCTTCAAAACAACGAGGAGCATCTTGGACGCTACGACAAGCTCGAACAATATTTAAAAGAGCTCTCAATGCATCATGTTTCATCGCTTTCTTTGTGTCTTGGAATAAAATGTCACAAAATACCTCCACACAATGAGTACCGTGTGAAAGAATGTACATGATTTGATCCGCATTTCCACCGTTGATGACATTTAAAATTGCCCAAATGGATTCATTTCTTATGCCTTTGTGAGAGTTTGATATTTCAATATTTTTGATCAATTTAGGAATAATATTGGCATCAATGACTGCTTGTATTTGTTGAACAGTTCCAGCCGTAATGTTCGAAATTGTCCAACATGCTTCCCGCCGAATACTACTCGCTGAATGTGAAATCAATGCACACAAGGAAGGTAATGCATTGTAATTAATCACCACTTGAGTCTGACAAGTATTTCCAGACACAATATTCCCAATGATTCTCAAAGCAGGAGTGATCACACTCCTTGAATGATGCAATAATTCGATCATACGTCTCACACCAGCCTGAACGACTTGTTCCATTTGGTCCACAGAAGATCCTTCACTCAAATACGAGAGAGCCCACAACGCATCTACCAACACCTCTTCATCCGCACTATACAACAAGTAAGCCAATACAACAATGGCAGGTGAAACCATCTTGAAATCAGGTTTTGGTTTTCCTCGACACAAATTAGCAAGAGTCCACACAGCATTTCGTAACATGGAATCTGCTGGATTCGATGAAATGAATCCCAAGAGAGGATCCATGACACCACCATTCAACACGACATCCCTTGCTTGAGCACCATCACCAGCAATGTTTCCAAGAGCCCAAATGGCTTGTTCTTTCACATCATGATGTGGACTGGAGAGTAATTGAATGAATAATGGTACGGCACCGAGTTGAATGATCATTTGAGTATGATGGGAATTTCCCGATGCCATACACGTGAGTACCCATGCAGCTTCAAATTGTAGTTGTGGATCATCATTCTTTTGTAGAAATTCAATGAATTTTGGTGTGATTCCTAATTGGATGATATGATCAATGACTGGAATTAAGGAATTCTCGTTACTGAGTAATTGTCTAAAGAATCTGGTTGCGTTGAGACGAAGTGATGGGTCGGAGGAGTTTAAATTCTCTCGTTCCTGTTCGGAAAGGAGGCGTTGCCAAGGTGGCAGGCCTGAAGGTGTGTGGTTTGGTTCCATTTTTTTTCAGTTACAATTTTCATATATTTCTGGAACTTGTGCCAACTGTCATAAATCGAAGTGTCATTTCATGACCTTGTTGGTCATGGAGTTGGAAGATTTTTGTTTTCTGATTTCATTCCATTTCTTGTCATTTCGAATAGATTTGAACTGATCTCCAAGTTGAACCTTGATTTTCATCTTGTCTTTGCAAGAATTATTCAAGATCTTTTGGATGAGTTGCTTCAGTTCTTTCAAAGAGATGTCTGTTCTTGGGAGTTCTCCGCTATCAACAAAGTTCACCTTAGCTGTCGAACTATGGTGAACAAAGATCATCTTTTTCAAACTGTGCAACTATAGACATGTAAAAGTCTGCAAGATCTTTCACAAAATCGCACTCAACACGTGATTTTATAATTTCAAAGAGATTTTTGGATTAGAAAACTGAAATTCATTGCATTCCTTATTCAAGAAAAATACATTACTGCCATTGTGTTCATGTCCTACCCGAACAAACATTCAGCGCAACCCTTGCATGTTCTTCTTCTCTGCATGTTACACATGTTGGTTCACTTGACATTTTAGTTCATTTTCAAGTTACAAAAGACCATATCCATGAAATGGGTCCTATTTTACAACCTTGAAGATAGGTAACCTTGCATCAATTTCCTGCTCACAGTCTTATTACCCCATGAACCATTGCTCCAGGCACTACTGGATCATCGGTGACAAGCTTTTTTGAAAAAAGGCAAGCAAACCTGTCGAAGAATTCGCCCTTGTCGTACAGCAACGGAGGTAGGTCACTATATTTCATTTCTGAGCTGGTAATAGGAAACTCGTAAATTTTACCAACCAACGTTTTCACATAAACACATCCTCCGTAGACATCAATAAATTTTTCTAAATTGGGAAACTTTGACTTGATATGAAGAAATGCATTGGGGCCTAATCCACAATCATTCAATCTCAGTTCTTTCAATTGTTTAATAATACTAGTTGAACCATCTTCTGCAAGTAAATATTGCCATCCCTGAATTTGTGGGTTATGACACAAGTCCAAGCTTGTTAAATTTGGAAAGTTGTTGCATTCGACCAACTCCAAAAGGGACGCTGAGCCAATATGACAATTTTGTAATTTTAGTGTCACAAGGTGAGCGGCAAATTCACTCTTCGCTATTTGTTTACAATCAACAGTTGTGAGAGGACAATTCACCAACTCTAACACTTTCAAGTAACGAGTTTTCTCGCTTCCAAAAATTATACTGAGCTGATCGTGAGTGATCGAGCTTCCAGACATCATGATCAAATGAATTTCTCTTAATTTGCAAAGAATTAAACAATTTGATAATTTGGTTCCGATAGGACTTTCTTTCTTTCTTGGATAGAGAGTCAAAGAATGTTCTAAACTCGCGGATATTTTGTACCATTGCCATGAAATGGTAATGCATGATTTGAGAATGGTTTTAGCATCGAGAAAGGCCATGATCGAGAAACAAATATCATCGGGAATGGGTGTATTACACTCCGGCATTTTTTTTGATATATCGAGGATCAGGATTGGTTAATGTAACTTCTATATTTCTTGTGACGTCTCATTGGTAACCACTATTGCAAAGCCTATCTGAAATACTCAATGGTTGAAATTACAGATATCGTCGTACCGAATTTCATGCATCTCGTTTGAATGAAAGGTTAGATACCATGTAAAAATTCGCTGAAGCTACAATTTTCACTATGGAGTCGGTGCTTTGTGAGTCACTTCGATCGTATGACAAGTTTAAAACAGTCAAATTCTTCAAATATTGACTCTGCACAATGAACTTAGCTCCTTCTGCACCAATTTCATTTAAAGCCAAATCTAATGAAGTTAAATTCTTCATGTATTCACTATTCGCAATGAATCGAGCGCCTTCCGAGCCAATGTCATTGTTCGATAAATCTAATGCAGTTAACCTCTTCAAGTTTTGGCCTTTTGCAATACATTCAGCACCTTCCGTTCCAATTTGGTTAAAACACAAAATCAAAAAAGTTAAACTTTTCAATTTGGGACTGTTCACAATAAATTGGACACCCTGTACGCCAATTTCATTTAAAGACACATCTAACGCTATTAAATTCTTCAAAATTTCACTGTTTGCAATAGCTTCGACGCCCTCTGGACCAATATCATTGCCAAATAAATTCAGGGTGGTTAATTTCTTTAAATTTTCACTAGTTGCAATAAATTTGGCGTCTTTTGCACGTAGTTCACTTCCTTATAAATTTAGTGATGTCAAGTTTTTCGAAATTTCGCTCATCACAATACATTGAGCTCCCTTAGGCCCAATTGTGCTGAAATACAAGGTCAAATCAGTTACATTCTTCAAGTGTTGACTATTTGCAATAGCTTGCGCGCCTTCAAAGCCAATTGGATGGTTCGAAACGTTTAAAGAAGTTAACTGCTTTAAACTTTCACTGCTTGCAATCATTTTGGCAATGATTGAACCCTTTGGTTGGCCCATATATGTGTTAATCAATGACAACTTCAACGGAATTTGAAATGATAATTCTCTCCATTGTCTCGATATTTTCATGCAAATTCGGATGATTAGTTTTGAATCAAGAAAGCCAAGTATTTCATAAATAATATCATCAATAAATGGGCCATTGTTCAAACGTGGTCCTCCAAAGCTAATACTACCACTGCGATCGCTCACGCTTTCGGATGAAGTAGAAATATTTTGATACATTTGTAGATTCCATGAAGGAACTCGATCCAGCACGAATGCTTCTTATCCCCCAAAAAACAAAAGAAATAAATTTTTTTAAATTTTGAAGCAAATAAAAAGGCAAGGGTGGATTTTCGCCACCAATCGCTTCTGAATCTTGAGCAGATCGCGGTGCTAGTATTACACAACTTGCCTCAAGCATTAAAGCATGATTAAGCTGTTTTCAATTCAACATCATGCGATAAGCATGCAAAAATGTGGTTCACATTATTTTTGCTATGAAGCTTCAACATCTAACAGCATCATGTGGCAAAAATAGACTGGCATTCTTCAACGGCATTGCTGCAGCAAACAGGATTTTATTAAAATCGATTTAGAAATTAAATTGACGTGTTATTCATCTGACAACAAAGGTACAGCTTATCAAAAGTATTTGTAGCAAGTCGTACATGTCACTCAAGCATCTCAAAAAGATGACTCGAATTGATGTTCAATAAGGTTCAATTATGAAAGCTGTTGTCACTTCATCCTTGGCAAGGTTTGTTTCTAAGGTCAGCAGTTCATTTCATTGCTGCTTGTTAATCAAATGAAAAAGCTGAAGTAGATTTGACGGGAGTAGAAGGCTGTTTCAATCCCTACACCTAAAGAAATTAAATCTTGAACCTCGATCGTGAGCATAACATATCCATTCAGATGGTCTTTCTTGAGAATATTAATGTCTTTCTTGTCGTAACCTTTGTATTTCAGCCATTTGGCCAAAGTTTTGTAATTCCATTTGTACACAGGTTTGGCTTCGATTTTGAACATTTTCTTTTCTCTTCTCTTCTCAAAGAAGCTTTTCTTCTTAGTTTGGGTTGTTTTATCCTCATTCTTCTGAGTTGTATTTACATCTCTCGTGGCAGGATGTTTTCCTCTCAACGAGCCACTTGCTGGTGAGTATGAATGTCTATTATTTTGTTTTGCTTTCTTGTTATCACTGGTTTCTGAAACGTCACTTGTTGCAGGTGTTGGTGCAGCTGTGTTCGAAGAAGCCTCTTTTTTCCACAACTTGGATAGGCCCTCTTTACACGCATACATTGACAATGGACGTGCTTTGAAAGTCTGTGCTGGTTCATTGGCGGCCACTACACATTCATTATTTGGATTGACACATTGTTGTTGCACGGTGGCCAACATATCGGAGGAAGATTTCTTTGAAGAAGAGGCTGCTGTTGAGGAGCAAGAGGAAGCAGAGATCAAATGCACAAACTCTGATTTTTGTTCACCTGCTGCTTGCAACGAGGATGATGAGGAATCAAGCAGCAAGGTCATCTCTATTGATGCTGGCAATATTTCTCGAAATAGAAATTGTCTAAATGTGTCCGTAAAATAATGATGATGATGATGAAATCGTTAAAGATTATCTAGTCCAATAGTTCAATAGATGAAATCTTTTTCCAACAGCAATTATTTGCAATTTGAAGACCAATAAATAAAAATGTTTGATGATAACCTAGAAGCGAGCTTTGAAGCCTACTGGAAAATATGAAACAATTTTGTTGTGTGCGTACAAGCAGGCTCTTTTTCAGATCAACAACCAAAAGCCTTTCACCCTCTGTTGTTGCTCTTTCCTACAACAAGCTTCAAGTATTTGTTTTAGGGAATTTTTGTAGGACAATGGAAATTTATTCCGCTATTTAAAATCTGCGAGGCGTTGATGGATTTGGTCTTTTAGCACAGAGATGAAGCTGTCAACTGTTAAATGTATGACGAAAATAAGGGAAGCTTTGTGAAATCGATTGCCGGAGGTGAACCATAGAAGGTTTGATCAACCACCTCTTTGTGTAGTCGTTGGCTTGAAGATGACAATGAAATTGCTAGACTGTGTTGAGATCAGATTCGAATTTTGTTGTATTTAAGGAAGTGTATTCTGTGTCACCAAAATTTGGATATTATTTTTTGACATGATGTATTTCATCTCATGTGAAACTTGCAAACTTTTCAAAAATAGTCTCTTGATTAATCATTGAAAAGCTTTTTGGTGAAAATATTTGTGCAAGCACATCCCAATTTCAAGAGTAAAAGAGTCATCCTAAACATGCCCTGCTGCTAGAAATCTCATCAACATTGAACCAATAATTTATTTAACACTTAATATAAAGAGGAACAACATAAAAAATGCTTCAAGAACAAAAGAAGAGAATCATTGCACTCGGATTTGAAGGAAGTGCCAACAAGCTTGCCATCGGAGTGGTTACCATGGACGGAGAGATTTTGAGTAATTTACGACATACTTATATAACACCACCAGGGACTGGATTTTTACCAAGAGAAACAGCCATTCATCATAAAGAATATATTCATGAAATGGTAAAGAATGCGTTGAAAGAGGCTAATATTACAAAGGATGATGTCGATTGTTTATGCTACACAAAGGGACCTGGTATGGGAGCATGTTTACATGTGGTTGCTGTTGTGGCTCGGACCTTGGCACAACTCTGGAAAAAGCCTCTCATTCCCGTGAATCACTGTATTGGACATATTGAAATGGGGAGAGTAGTCTGTAAAGCAGAAAATCCAATTGTGCTGTATGTGAGTGGTGGTAATACTCAAGTGATTGCGTACAGTATGGGAAGATATCGAATATTTGGTGAAACCATTGATATTGCTGTCGGAAATTGTTTAGATCGATTTGCTCGTCTCATCAATTTATCCAATGATCCGAGTCCAGGATTCAATATTGAGAAAATGGCACGTAAGAAGAATGAAGATGGTTCAGATTTGAAATATATTGAACTACCATACGTTGTAAAAGGAATGGATGTCAGTTTTTCTGGCCTCTTGTCATGGCTTGAAAAATTTGGCTTGGATATGTTAAAGCGAGGAGAATGTACCGCTGAAGATTTGTGTTTTTCACTGCAGGAAACAATATTTGCCATGCTTGTAGAAATTACTGAGCGAGCAATGGCTCACTGCAACTCTAATGACGTTCTTATTGTTGGAGGTGTTGGATGCAATGAGAGACTTCAACAAATGATGAAACAAATGGTGGATGAAAGAGGCGGAAAATTACATGCCATGGATGATCGATATTGTATTGACAATGGTTGCATGATTGCCTATGCAGGAATTTTGCATTTTGATGCCATTGCAAAAACACACGAGGGAGCTCACGAAGCATTATTGGGAGATACCAAACGATTGTATGAATTGTATCCACTGAGTGAATGCTCCGTCACACAACGATATAGAACTGACGAAGTGGATGTTATTTGGAGGAAATAATAATAATAATTATTGTTATTGATTAATAATTTATGCGTTTTGTATTCCGGGCCGCTTGCTTGACCGCCATTCCAATACGTTTTTGTTTCCGAGATTTCAAATTTGAAAAAATACAACAACTCGACCTAATCGACAACCCTCATCATCATGGTATATATCAAAGTTAAACACTCGGAAAAGGACATGTTCATGTTCGAGGCACATTATGAGACAGATCTAGATACAGTCATTCGGGGGGTTGCCTCCATTAACAATTTGAGGGTTCGGCTGAAGAATTTAGTCTCTGAATTAAAACGATTGAAAGAAAAAGGACCTGTACTACCTGAGAGGTCGTTGGATGAAATGCCCAAAATTGAAGAATTGTCACTGAACGACGACGAGGAGGATGAAGCCAAACAAAATTCCGAGCCATGTTATGGATCACCAATTTCAGATCCCAATCTAGTTTCCACTGTAAATAAGGTCATCGAAGAAGCAGAGCATGTGTTGAGCGCAGAGAAGGCAAACCAAAAAATCTCAGTCTCTGAACATGATTTACTCGAGTGTATCATGAAGGTTAAGGGAGTAATTGCAATGGCATACCCTATGGGATTACCAAGTACTGATCCCATTTTGAAAATCTTAGATGAAAAATTTGTTACTGTAAGTAGTTGGAGAATGTTGAGAAATTATCAAACGAGCCTTTCATTTTTGCATTGTGTGCTTACCCGCAATTAATGTGGCGCTTTGCAATCGATCAAACTGTACAGAAAGAAATGTACGATCCTGAGACCTGTACCATGTGGTTCTGTGGAAAGGAGTTCCCAAGAAATACAAAATTAATGGACAACAAATCGATTGGAAGAAATGACAAGACTCAAATAATCGCAAAGCTAGCAAAGAAAGGTTCTGGAGCACCTCCACGAGAACAACCAGTTTCTGAGGAAGATCAAAAACGTCTCATGGCCTACTATTATAAAAAACAAGAGGAACAAAAAAAGCTATTAGAGGATGAAGATTTAGCGTATGTGAACAGTGGATGGGCAAATCCAAAATCTCTTCACTCTCAACTCCATGGTTTAAATTCAGTGTCATGGAAATAAACTGTGGTTCCTTCGTTTGCTCGAACAAAAATTTTTCAAAAAAACAAAAAGCCACCACAACGTTCGTGCACGATGGAAAATGATGAATCTAAGATTTACTTCCGATCGAAAGCCACCATCTACCACATCATCCCCACACAAGAGTTCAGCACACTCCAGTACTTCCTCCTCCATTAATGCCAAGAAGGAGTCGAATAGCGGTAGTAGTAGTACTACTGAATTAGAACTCCCGATGAAGGGCCTACTTCAGAGGAATAACCACAACCTGTTGAGCACTCCTAAAAACCATCATCAACAACAACAAAAACGGTTATTGGATTCTGTGGATCAAAGTTCTTGTAAGCAAATGATCAGCATCCATAACAAGGACTATGACGATGATGATCATTCATCAGTTTATTCCTTCGATTCCATCTTGCCGTCGCCTCCGTCCATAACGGTTCAACAAATTGAAAAAAATGTTTTTGACAATGATGAGCCTTTTTCGACCAATGCGATGAATATTCATCATTCACGATCGTTCATGAGCTCAAACCACTCAAAACGCAATTTAAATCATGATATTAAATTGTCTCAAGAACAAGGATCAGATGAAGAGTCTGATGATGACTCGGACGATGAATTGAGATTATTTTCAATGAAGAAATCGAAAAAGAAAATTGAATCAAACAAGAAGAGAAAGGTTTCCCAGCCCAATGTCTGTTTAACAAAATTTGAGAAATTAGAGGCTGATAACACAACATCAGATGGCAATGAAATCAAATTAGTCAACCCATCTCTTGTTGTAACACAACAACAAATGAATACAAAAGAAGAACAAGCTTCAAAAATCTCCCATGAAATTCAAGAATGTGGCGTTGAAAACACACCTCTAGAACAATCTAAACCGTTGAAAGGAACAGCTTCAGAACTGGTTCTCGGCGATATCACATCGCATGATAATATTGATACACTGCAAGAACCGTTGATGGATGAGGAATTTATTGTGTCACTCACTCCAGAATTGGAGGAGCAGCAGGCAGTGACAGCCGAACAAGAAGAGACTCTATCAACAGTTAACAATGTCATGAACAACAATAATGCCATAAATTTCACACAAGCTCAACACGAAAATACTGGAACGGATGACGCCACTACTGTTACAGCTGATGTACATCCTATTGAGGACATTTTAGATTTAGAGTTTAATGATGAATTACATTCACCAACACAACAGCTCTTTGAAAAACAAACTATTTCCGAAGACGAGGACACAAACATTGAGGTAATTGTACCAAAGAAAATGATTGATGCTTGCACACAAACAGACAAAGTGTACATTCCCTCATATTCCGTACGAAACGATGCAGGAGACAAAAACAATATTTGTTCCATTTGCCTGCACGCATGGAGTTCGACTGGCCTTCATCAAGTTTGTTGCTTAGGATGTGGACATTTATTTGGCAAAAATTGTATTGAGAAATGGCTGAAAAAGAACTCCACGTGCCCAAAGTGTAAAAAACAAGCAGACAGATCCAACATTCGTCTCCTCTATATTGACAATATTTCTGCAGTCGATAGTCAAAGATTGGATCAACTCGAAAAGCAGCTAGAACAAGAAGCCCACCTTCGCAAAACTCTTGAAACCATGAAGAATGGTTTGGAACTACGAGTGAAAATGCTGATGGAGCAATTAGGTCAGTCAGGATCTGCTGTCATTCAGACATCGTCTGTGGATTCTAATTCAGAACAAAAAGAGGCAGATCAACGAAAATCGCTAATTCAACGCTCTCTAGAGCTTGCAGAAAGAAAAAAACGAGACCACATACTGAATGACACTGAAGGAAGCAGAGTGATTCAAAGCTCAAAATCTAAGAAGAATCAATTTCCAAGAAAACGTTCAGGAACAAGCCCAAAACAATTATTCCAACTTCCTTTAGAAAACAGCTCTCTCATTGAGCTCTCGAATCCTTCTCTAGATTCAAAGGCTGCATCACTCCTGGTGAGTTTTGAGAGTAGAGACAAAACCTGTGGCTTTTATTCCTTTACAAATATTGACCAGCTGGCACAAAAACCATCATTACTACTGCAAAGCAAAAAAATTGTACATAACTCCCCTCTAACCTGTATCAAAGCTCATTATCTGCTGAATATTGATGGTACTACGAACAATTTTGACGGATACTCTGTGAATGTCAACTCGTCCAATACTCATCTAATTCTAACTTCTTCTTTAGATAAGACTGTTCGAATAACTGATTCGAGACAATCAGGAATGTCTAACTCGGTATGCTTTTGCCCCTACCTAACATCAGCAACAGAATTAGAATATGAGTCCATCACATGTTGTGAATGGAACAGGTCCAATGCAAATTATTGTTTTGCAAGTCTGTCCAACGGCTCAATTTTATGCTACGATATAAGGAAACCTTCTGAGCCATTCCTGATTACTGGTGATAAGTCTTACACACAACTACATTCCATGTTTCACGTTCCCAACGTTGGATTGATCGTTGCAAACTCTCAATCCATTCGATGTTATGATGAAAACTATAGTGGATACACAAAATCCTATCACTTATTTTCTGGAAACATTACATCGCTTCGATTCAACCATGTCACAAATACTTGCATGTTTGTTGGAAAAGAAAATGCAAAACAAAGCTCTATTCAATTCTTTAAACTGAATGACAAGATTCAAGCAATTTGTACAGATACTTTGGATATTAGTCACAAAGAGGAACTTCTCAATAGACCTGTCTTTATTTCTAGCCACAAAAATAACACTCTGGCCATACCAAAGCCAAACGATCATTGTGTGGAAATCTATCGTTCATATGGAGACAAGGAATTGCAACTTTTCACAGAGATTGTTGAAAACGATAATAATTCTCCAATCCAAAACGTTTCACTTTTTGACAATGACGTTTTTGTTCTCACTACTCAACATCTTTCCATGTATCACATCTAACGCTATTGGATGCAACGGTTGTCAATTATTGTAAAGAGATGAAAATTGTAGATTGGTCGTAGGTTTTGTTGAAACCAGTACAGTCGTTCCTTGCCTTCTATTCCTCAATGAAATTAAGTTTTAGAACTAAGCAAGAACTCACGGCTGTTGACACATTTTAAAAAAAATCCCATCGGAGATCCGGTAGAGGATTGAATGAGTGCACTATGTCAAGATCCATTGTTAGCTGTGACCACTTTGCTCATTAACGCCATTGGAAGCATTTCGATAGTACTAGTTGCAAACCTGTCATCATGGTCATCGGAACGTCAAACTGAAGCAGAGTGTATCCAGAACTATCTTTCCAATCAGCAAATAGGCAATATCGCTTTAGGAGTTGTCGTCTCGATATGTTTCGTTGCTGTCCTTGTTACACTGCTCACCATGACCATTTTAAATCCACGTCGACATGGTATGGCCCGATGGAAATCGATCCTTACATTTCGTGAGAGTCGAACGTTTTATGAAGGAATGTGTTCAGTGGGTACCACTGCTGCGTTGTTGATGGTTTGGCTTTGGTTTCGAATTCGACCAGGAAATTATATCGAAGAAAATGCAAAGGCAATGAGTTCAGAGAAATGTGAACGTCATTTCAATGATGTCAAATTGATCAAGTATCTTGTTATAGCCATTTGCTCGATTTGCATGTGTTTCATGACATTCTTGTATTGTTGTTCTGTCTATTATCAACGTGGAAATACTACTCCATCAGCAAACACTAATTCAAGAAATTATGTTTACTCTGACTCCGAATCAGATTAAGGTTGAGTCGTAAATAAAGGTTAGAAATTCTAAAAAACTCAGTATTCGTTCTGCTCTGCTTTCGAACCTACTGCTGAAGATTATTACTGCGTGCAAGCTGAAATGAGTGAAAATGACACCAGCCATTTATTCAACATCTCTGCTTGCGACATCAAAATTCAACCCAGATCGAAAAAAATGGAAGAGGAAGCGAACCGGTTAGCCTCTTTTTTCAATCAGAGCTATCAGTGGCCTCATAGCTCGAGTACACATCCGAATTGTACTCCTGAATTATTGGCAGCTGCTGGTTTTTATTATGCTCCAACGGAAGGATTTTTAGATTTGTGTAAATGTCATTATTGTGGACTACGATTGAGAGATTGGTAGGTGGTTTTAAAAGATGATGATCAATGTCGGTTGGAATGGAGAAATTTTATGGAAATATATCGATCATTTATGTTATCAATATATGATCAAATAATTATTATTGTGGATGGTTGGAACGGAATTAAATATCAACATTGAATTCAACATTGATTTTGATTCGTGAATGTTTCATGAACTTTTAAATTATTTTTAATAATTATTATGAATTTAACAATTTTGTAAATTTTAAAATGTATCACAACAGGGAGACGACTGACATTCCGTGGGAAGAGCATAAAAAACACAAACCAACATGTTCATTTGTAACAAAACATTTCAAGACATCGGACGAAGACGATGAATTAGGTTTTAATTTATTTGGAGATGAACCACCTGTGTCATCCACACCAACTTCCACTATTCAAACAACGCCATCATCCTCAAATAACACCACCACCGAAGAGTTCGTGACAGAAGAAATGCATCTCCGAGGTCAATTTGTTTCCGATGTTCTGTACTCTCTCATTAATCCACAAAACGATTGGAATTTTGATTTTGAACTGGTCTCGCCATCGACAGATTCCAATAACATTGCCATCAAATTGGAACATCATGTGTAATGTCATTGACAACAAGAAAATGAGGTGACAGATAATGGCATACATACATACTTTTTTTGGAAGTCTGATCTCAATAACTACTTATCAAAAAAACATTGTTCTTTGGTGTGGATGGGTTGATTTGTTGGGTTATTGTAGTTGTGGTTTTGGTTTGGGTTGTTGTTTGGGTTTTGGGTAGGTTTGGTCAATTAAACAAAATATGTTTGTATGCCATTATGTGTAATCCCCAAGAAAATACACAATAATTATTTGAATTGCATCACTAGTTCTTGTTTTTGAGTTAAATGCAAATTGTTTGATGAATTTTTTCGAGAATTAAAAAAATACACCATGGACGCTGAAACCCTCGATCGAAAGATTCGTGAACAAGTTGAATTTTACTTTAGTGATAGCAACTTGCCAAAGGATAAATTCTTGAGAAGTCTTGTGGCCAATAATCCTGAAGGATGTAAGTACAGCAAGTATTATTTGTGATGTTTCGGGTGATGATAGATTTTGACCGTTACAATATTTAATTTGATGATGAAAATGAATATGTGGCTTGATGATTCTGTGTTCCATCCAAATTTTGAATATCTCATTGGGTTAATCGAACCAAACAACAGATGTTGAATTAAAGACCATTGCTTCCTTCAACAGAATGAAACAACTTACCACCGATATGGACGTGATTGTTTCTGCAATCAAGAAGAGTGCCATGCTTGAAGTTGATTCAGAGGGTAAGCTCGTCCGTAGAATTACTGCTCTCCCTGAGAATGATACCACCGTTGCTCGTAGTTTGTATGCCAAAGGATTCCCTCTCGATGAGAAAATCACCAATTTGGACACTGTCAAGACTTTCTTTGATGCTTTCGGAAAGGTCATGTGTGTCAGAATGAGAAGAGAAAAGAATGGAACCTTCAAGGGATCAGTATTTGTGGAATTTGACTCGGAATCCACTGTCAATTCGTTGGCTGGAAAAACTGATCTCAAGTTCAGACCTGAGGATGAACCTCTTCTTGTTGAGTCTAAACAAGCTTACTTTGAAAGAAAGAAGAAGGAACGTGAATCATCAAAGGCCAAGGCTGCTCAAGATAAAAAGCAAGAAGAAATCGATAACATGAAGAATGAATTGAAACAAAACTCTTTTTTATATATTGAAGGTATTGCAGCTGATGAGAAGTTTGGATTTGCTGACTTTTCCAAGAAATTGCCAGTCAATAAGAAGAATGGATTGAAGTTTGTTGATTACCCATTAAGTGGTGACAAGACAAAGGCTGTTCTCCGATTGGAAAATAAGGAAATTTTCGATAACGTCAAGAAACAATTCGACGAAGGAAAGATTGAACTTCCTGGAACCATCTCTGTAAAAGAGTTGCCACAAGAAGAATTGGAAAAGTACATTGATGAAACCGTACAAGCTAAGTTTTCTGAGCAAGGAAATACTCACAAGAGAAAGGGAGCTCGAGGCAAGCAAACTAATAGAAAGAAGAAGACCAAGACTGACTAAGTTCTAAAAATTGATATTTAATTTTTTCTCTAGATTTATTTATTGAAAATACAGTTTATAAACTACTGCCCTAACAACATATGATTATGCAAGAACAAAACTTGACCAATTCTATCAAATATTGAGCCACATGAAGGATTGACTTGCAATAATATTTTACAAATAATTTATTGTTGCTCCTCTGAAATCTCTTGAACTGTAATCTTGAATGATTTTCCACAGTGCTTGACAATGGTTGGTTCCGATATTTGCAGTTTTCGTTTCTTTTTACCTTCATGAATGAAAACATTGGATAAAAATTCAGTGTCGTCATGATCGTTGAAGGTAGGCGTGTCATAAGAGTGGTTGCTGCCTTGTTTTTGAGATTTGGGAGCCTTTGCAACTTTGAAACCTTGTGAAATACCTCCGAACACCTCGCTATCACTCTGATCGAACACCAACATCTTGTAATCTGAATGTTTGTTCTTCCATCCACTTGCATTGTTCGAGGTTGAAACTTGACACTTGAACACATACTTGTCTTGGTATTCCTCAATCTGTAAAATAGAAAGAAGATCATTATCATTTGGATCCTTTTCGAGATAGTTCAAATACATTGAGAAGGAGCTTGCATTGGAGTTTTTGATCATCTTCACATTGACCCTTTCTCCATCGGTTCTCTTTGTTTTCTTGTCTGAAACAACGAGCAACCTTAAATTCTCCAACTTGACACGACTGTTCAAAGCACCACCTTGCAACGAAACAGTAACAGTGAAAATGGAAGACCTACTGTCATCTCTCCTTGACACACCATTTTTGACAAATATGGATGGCTTGACATACATGTCGATACATGGCATGGTCAAGTCCACCTTTAAATGAGGATTGCTGACTCCACTCATCTCATGGGGAACAACGGTCAGTGATTGACGAAAAGTATTTCCATGATTGTTCTCATTGAATTGCTCCACAAAGTCCTCGTCCATGGTTCGAATGATATTCTCCTCCTCATCTGATTGCGACTCTTCTACCTTCTTCGATTGCTTCTTTTTCCGAAGCTTTTTCTCTTTCTTACTTGGTTTAGATAACATGGAGGAAGAAGTTGACGCTTGCATCTCTTGAGATTCTTCATCATCCGAAGAATCACACACAAGAGTTCTTTTACGTTTGATGGACTGGCGAGTTTTTCTCATGATTGGCTCCTCTCTCGTTTCCTCTTCCTCGATATAGTCAGGATCTTCTTCCTCTTCAGTGGAACTGTCCTCATTTCCTTGAGAAGCTTCCTTATCCAATTCTGTGACGCTATGGTTCGTATTGGAACTTGTCTTATCCACGACAGGAACAATTGGATCTTGCTCCATCACCATGTTAAGGTGAGAGCTCACTTGTGAATTGGATTGTGAGGTTTTAGTACTCGGGACACTCACGACAGCAATCTGAGGAGCTTCACCTTCCTCAATAATCAATTCGGTGAATGGTCGAGCGACGAACTTGTTTGTTCTGATAATTAAATGACTTTGAGAGGTTGTACATGAATCATTCGTCGTGATTGGTTGTAGTTTCTTATCCGTATTGACATGATTCGGAGCAGCAATTTCAGAACAAGTCAACCATTCGTCATCCTCTTCTGCCATGTTCCAATATTTCGTCACATTTTGATCCGAAGGTAAATGTTGAGAATGGGTCTGACTCGAATGAAGTGTTGCCGAAGTAGGATTCCAATGATGTACCGTATTCCAAGAGGCCACAGTGGATTCTGAACGTTGAGTTTGATCCATCGAGTAAGTGTCATCATTGAAATGGTGATTGGACATGATGACCAGGTCATCATCATTGAATAGGGATTCATCATGACAACTATGAGGTTGAAAGGTCAACCAATGATGTTGATGTAGTTGTTGTTGTGGATCATTTTGGTTTGAATTCAAATCCAACATGAACTCACTCTCAAGTTCTTCATCAAATAAGGTTGGAGAACTCATCAACGGATGATTCTGTTGTGGATATAAAGACATGTTGAGAGGACCTAGAAAGTGTTCAGAAGGTAGTAAACTGAGATTCAACGAATTGGATCCAAAGAAAGGAGTTGTAGTAGTAGTGAGTGGTTGTTTTTCTTTTTGAAAAATTTACAAAACGTTGTGAATCCAAGCAAAGAGGAAACGAAAGAGAGCGCGAAAGGAATACAATTTGCAGATCATAACTGACACAACGCTCTCGAATTTCGAGTCCGCGTCTGGAGTGGCTACAATTTTTATGAACCCTACAGATTTGGAAATTGCAGTAAAAGTGGTGCCATTTAAATGTCCATTTTGGAATTTGGAGTCGACAAATTTGGGCTCATTCTTTACAAAATTGGAATACAAGTCATTCATAGACAAGAGAAACCTGGAGACAGAGGTCATTGATGAGGTGTTATATAATTATTGTACAATACATCATTTTCAGTTTCAATAATCTCACAAATATTTAATGTTATTATGAATTATTTACAATTTTTCTTAATCCATTACAATGGAGTATTACAATCCACTCTTTCTTCACTCTTTATTTGAAGTTGTGGATTTGAAACTGTTCTTGTAACAAGAGGTCTGAAAATCTTCAACTTTAAACAAAATATTTGAGAAGAGTCTTGACTGGAAGTGTCACACGAGGTGGATACTTCCACGATCAAATAATAGAGAACTCCAGCCACTATTTGTTGTTGAGCATTCACTACTCTTGTCACTCGACAAACACGGTTCGAAGAGGCTTGAGGAATAAATGCAATTAATTCGTTAATGAGTGTTTGATTAGTGATGGGTTGTCTTCCTCCTGGTAAAACACTGGAAGCGATGGGAAGTGCATCGGAATGATGGTAATATTGAAGGAATGTGGTAAGACTAATGGTGGCGATCACGACCACGAGTACGAGTTGTGTAAAAAGATTTTTTCTCATCTTGTGTTTTTTTTTTGCAAAGTTAATTTCAAATAATTTTCATAATTGAGCAATTAACTAATTAGGATGTTAAAATATCTTTCGAACATGAAAATATTAGAATTCAATCTTCTCGTAGATTACTCCTTTTAAATAGTGTTGTTTTACAACAACAAGCAACAACGAGAATGTGTCGTTTCTTTCACATCATGTCGAGTCGTTACCAATTGATCATTATACAATACTCGAAATACGACCTCTGTAATATCCTCTACTCCTATATGTTCCACAGCACTTGTTTCCAAATAGGAACAACATCCCATCCTTTTGGCCATCATCATACCTTCTTCATGGCTCCATAAAAATTTTTCTTGTTCCAGTACAAGATGTAATGCTCGTTTTCGTAAATCGATTTTAGTCATTAGTAAAACAATTTTTGGAAGTGTTTCATGATGATTGAATATTGTTGTTGTTGATGTTTTCCTGTCAGTGACATCTATACCACAATGGTAAAGAATTTCAGGAATCCATTTCGAATGAACGTTGAATAAGGAATCGATGGAATTACATGCCACGCACAACATGAACACCTCTGTATATGGATAGCTTAAGGGCAATAGACGTGAATATTCAAACGCTCCTGGAGAATCCCTATAAAGAAGAGTGTTTTCCCATGTTTTGAAAATTGTTGAAAATGTGTGAAATAATAAATTCACACATAATTAAAAAATCCTTACCAACTTGTCAACTTAATTTTTCCATTCAGGAATGGAAGATCTTTTTCAATCGTGGTTGGCTCATACATGGTGGGTGTTTTTGGAAATTCCTCATTGCAAAATACTCTTCCGAGACATGTTTTTCCAACGTAGCTATCTCCTAGAAACAAAATTTTATGTCCATTATCTTGTTTTGGTAGAAAGTTAAAGGGTTGATTAGTGACATTTTTCTGAAATTCTTGATCATGACCTTGTTGAATTGTAAAAAACGGTAAAGGGTTGGGTATATATGGAACACAATTTTGAATTTCATGTTGTCTATGTTTTCGAATTATTTTCTCCAATTTCGAAATGGGTCGAAATAATTCATTTAAATGCTTTTTAAAATTACAAGTGACAGGTCTCAACAAATCGCGAGAGATCAACTTCTCCGCTTTCACTCCACATTGTTTCGAAAGTGAATATTTCGATTGTTCCGAATTGAATTGTTTTTCATAAAATTTTATAATTTTATCCAAATATTTCACATAAAAATTATTCCATAACAAGTCATGATCGGTAAATTCATTTAGAAATTTGCAAACCAATTTCACGACTAGTAATTCACTCTGAGAAAGAAAGGAAAAAATAATTAATAATTCATCCTGGTGATGGATGATGTTGTGCAATGGAGATGAATTCATTTTTTTGTTTTGAATTTTTAAATTTTATTTGATTGGAATTGTATCTATCATATATGGAACCGATGATGGCTGGAAACTGGGAATTAACAATAAGATCACCTTCAATTATTAGTTATCAATGATCTTGTTTAATGAAAAAATATTAAAAAAGGAATTCCCAACGCGAAAAATGTTAAAGTTCAACGTTTTTCAAGAGATACATCATTCAACAAATCTCATCATCCTTCACCTGAATTTTTCATCCAATAGAATTCACAAACTGCCACTTGTCACTCCACTCATCAATTCTCAAAAAAAAATGAAACGCTCTCACGATCAAATCCATCCATCCCCAAGCTCTTCTCACCCACAAGCCAAACAACCCAAAACTCCTCAACTCTCCTCTGCTCAACAACGTCTCTTACGTGATTGGAAAGAAATTCAAAGCTGTGCAAAAACTCTCGACACCATTTGGGCTCAACCTCTCGAAAACGATTTATATACTTGGCATGGTACTTTATTGGCACATCCACAATCAGATTATGCTGGAATTATCTTACGTTTGAAAATGACCTTTCCAATGGATTATCCTCATAATCCTTGTAACATTGAGTTGTTGAACATGTTGCATCATTCACATGTCCATAATGGACATATTTGTTTGGACATGTTGAAAACTCATCATTCGACGGAGAGATATTCAGGATGGTCTTCGAGTTATACGGTCTTGTCTATTTTGTTGCAATTACAATCGTTTTTGTTTGAGGAAGAGAAGGATCAGGTGTTTCATATTGAGCAAGATGTGTGGGCGAGTCGAAAGTTTAAAATGTTACCCGATCATGATCCAGAAAATGGAAAGATTTGGCCATGTGCTCCTCATTGGGATGTGAATGCTATATTGCGTGGTAAATGTGCAGTCCCCAAGAACAGTGTGACAGCCATGACAGTTGACACTTTTGGAAAGAATCGAGAATTACCACTTGTTGCTACCAGCTCCTCTTCTTCCAACCAGAACGCTGGTCCTCTCGTATTGGATCTCCCTCAAGAACTATTGATCCACATTTTCGATTATCTCACTACCATCGAATTGAAAACTTTGGAAAAAGTTTGTCAAGCATTCCGCAAACTTGTCAATTGTCGTCAACTCTCCACTGCTCGTGAATTGGTTTGTTTCTATTCCAAACTCTCCTTCCATGAAGATACTTTAGGAATTGGTTTGAACATTCGACCCATTAAAAATGGAAAATATGATCTGAGTACTTCTCTCGATATCATTGGATGGAAATCATTCCATCAAGACGGTGTCCGAACTGGTGTGTGGAATAACGAATTTAATTTTTGGCTTCCTCTCTATATTAACAAGTATCATGCTAATATTCAATTATTTAAGGACAGTGTTTTAACGATCCAAAAACAATGTCCTGGATTTTTAAATGACAAGGCGGCACTTACAGGAGACAATTTTCCATTTTTGGCTATGGACGTGTTGTGCAAATTGATGAATGCCATGATTGTTGAAATTATGAAAGGATATTCCCATGCTTCGATTAAGGCACTTCAAGGATATTGTCATTTTCATCGTTGGATGATTTACTTGGCTCAGACCTATCCTCAACAACTTGCCATTTTAGAAAGTGTTGAAAAATTCCTTAATGAAAAATCGGCAAGACTAAAAACGTCTTGTCCAGATTTGGGAGTCTTTTTACCACGTCTTAGTGTACTTGGACCGAATGGAATTACTTGGAATTCCATCAAGAAGGTTGTCATTGATGAAGTCACTACTCGAAATGCATTTTGGGTGACTTTAAAATTTCCAGATTTGGCAAACGTGCAAGATGGCAATGACACTGCACGAGTAAGATTGTCATGGGAGAGTAACAAGGTGTCGTGTGGACTCATCATGTTCCATGTCTTCTTTTTAAGAAGTTTAGTAGAAAAACATGGACGAGAATGTTCATTGGAAATGTTGGGTCGAATGTATGACGTGAATTTTGGATGTCCTGAAGGGAACTTTGAACACGTGTTGCAAAAGGAAATTTTCAAGATTTTGAAAATTTCTCGATTGAGTGAATTTTTTGAATATATTGGACTGGCAGAATTGGATTCCAATTCGAAAATTGCTGCATATTTGAGACAATGTTTGAAAAAGGCGTATGATGTGGGATATATTCAGCAAGTCCAGAATCAGCATCAGCAACATCATCATCATCATTATCGTGAACATTATCGTGAAGATCGTTATTCATCTGGCTCTCGTGGACGTCATAATTACTATTAAAAATGATGTGAAATTTGTGAATACAAATATTATTGGCAATAAAACAATTAAGGGAAATTGAATTAACAAATGAATGAATTTAATGATCATTTGGTTTTTAATGGAGACAAGACATGATCCATATCATGACGACACATAACCATGTTAAATGAAATCTCGAAAACAAGTGTCCACTCATGGCTGTGGTCATTATGGAAGTAGAGATTGGAAAACTCTTCGATGAAGATGCACTTGAAACACTGGTGGCATTGGCCAATAAGGAAACTCCCATCGTGACATGGGCATCGAATCCTGCACTCATATTCGATGAGTCCACTTGAACGATATTCAACATTCCCAATACTCCATTATCTTTAAAAACATTATCAGAACTCAAATACGTTCTTTGATTGGTATTTGCAGTGTATGGATATATTTGTCCAACCTTAGCTGTCAAATTGTCATCAAATGAAAATTGTGAAGTTAACCTTAATGAAGTTCCTTGCCAAATTCGGACATGAATATGAACATCTCTTCCAGTATACCATCCAGGATAAATTGTATTAAAAGTTGCCATTCCAGTCGAATTTGCAAAAACCTTTCCTCGAAAATAAATATTTGAATCTGTCTTTGGATTTTGAACATTTTTCGAAGCTTCTTCATAATGCGAATAAATTCCAGCAAAATCACAATGCCAAATCTCAACTGTGACATTTTGTGAACTATTCGCTGCCAAACAAGTACTCAAATCAAGAATTGTAATATACAGAGTCATTGGAATTCCAGGACGTGATTCTGTAATGTCGGCACGATACGGCATTCCACTCACATAATAAGGACCTTCAGTTTCACTTGGAGAAGTGACACATGACAGAAGACCTCTTCGTACAATGTCTTTGGGAGTCATGTAACGTTTAGGACCATGAGCTTGAACGAAATTTGAATGCATGAAGGTCCATTGGATGAAGAGAAGGACACATGCTGTTACAATGAATAATTTCATGATCTTAGTTGGAGTGAGTGAATTTGTTTTTTTTTGTTGGTTGTTAAATTGAGGATCTTTGTTTTGGGAACTGGATGTGTTGCCAAATTGACAACCATGGATTTCGAAAAAGACAGAATAGTAAAGGACATCATAGAGGATTCTTGTAGTTCTTTCGCAACGAACTGATGGAGAGGTTCTGATTGAGGGTCCATTTGGAATCGAATTGAAAAAATGACATTTGGCACATGGTGCAATGGTTGAGAATCCAATTTCAATTTGTAATAGCTTTTTATCTCTACTACACTTTGTGATCACCATTCGAATGTTGCATGGAAGGTGAATACACACGCATGTCCCCATTTTCAATAAAAAACGAGTGAGGTGTTGGTAATTTTTCAAGTTCCAAGTTCTGATTGTGTGGTCTTGCACATTCTTCACGTTGTCTCTTTCGCACACAATACCATCTTAATAAAACCATTCCAATACAACTTAAAAATGCTGCCACAAATACAACCACTACAAGAGACAAGTATATAATCACTTCATCTGTTAAGGGAATGCATGGCAATTCTTTGGGTTGAACAAGTAGTCGAGTTCCTTTTTCACACGCCATGGAGGCACGCCATTGAAAACCCAATTCTTGACTCATGGCTCTTACAAACGCAGAATTATATTCAATTTTAAAAGTAGGTTCTTCCGTGAGAATATCATGTGAACACTTTTCACCTGATCGACAGAAATAAGTAATGGGAATGGATGGAAATTTTTGATGAGAATCCGACGATGCAGTAGGATATAAGGGTGATATCAATACAGAATTTTGAAGAGGAGAATGAGTGACAATTCCATTCAATGGAAAGTTAGAGTCGAGTACAAT